TCTGGTAGGTACGGGACCATCAATGACCCCAGCAGTCTACTCCCACCACTATGATGGAGGTGCATTCATCCATCGCATTCATATGGACCCACTTGCATGAGGACAGGGAAATAGAGGGGCAGACAGAAAGCAAGCAAGGCATTAACATGTTATCCTGGTAGTTGCCAGAACTCATTCGCCAATGTCTAGAAGCACTGAGAAGTTACACAGCATTAAATCTGTTATGTTCATGCTCCAGGCATCGGGTGCGGTCCCTAAGAGGAGAGGTGGGGGTGCTCGCTCTCTTTATATCACCCTCTCTTCATTAGTTCCAGAAAGATATTTTTAAAATAGCTGTTCAAAGAACAGGAAAACCATTTCCCTGCCCGTTTCGGATTCTAAGTGATGTTTCTACGTTACTAAGTCAATTCAAGATCGGCCATAGAAAGTGCTATTAGTGTAATGCCTGATAATAGTTTAGAGCAGCAGAAGGTGCCTTAATGCAAATATCATGTTGCAGGAAGCAGGGTGCTTTACAATAGCTGCTGTGTTGCTGCTGAGATGTAGACCGTTATTTTCTTGATTAGCAAATGTAATGTCTGCATTTTTCTTTGAATCGGTAAAGGAAACCAGAAATGTAGCCACCAAGCTTTGGGAATTGTATTTTCTTATATATTGCTGATATGATAAAATATGTTAAAAATTAGGCAATAGGCTTTAATTGAACTCTCTATGAGTTTATTTTACAGATCGTAAGTCTAAACCCATTGGGTTGAAGGCATATAGAATGTTGTTGGTAAAGTTAGCCTCTTTGAAAGCGAAAGGTGCTTTCAGATTTACACTAAATTTAATGGCAATTTTATTTCCTTTCAAGATGTTAAGCTTGTTCCTTATAGGTGTTGTCTGAAAGAAAAGTTGCAGTAGTGGCCCAAAACTTGACTGTGTAATTTTCATCAAAGTAATTTCCAGATGTGTATGTACATATATATATATATGAGTATGTGTATATTTTTAGAAGCCAAATTATCCTAGTGTCAACATGTGTGAAAATCCCAATTTATGGCAAGACCTATATGGTGGCAGACTGAACAATGTCTTCTTGTTCTCTCCTTCATTCCCCACTCAAAAAGTCCCCTATTTTTCTGAATAGAAAGGAACATTGTCACAGTAATGGACCATTTTTCTTCCTATCCAGACATTCTTTATTCTCTATGATGTTTTAGGACTTGTGTTGTTTGCCTTCAACTTTT